GAGATGCTGATGTTGGGATCCTTAGGGACGAGTGAGTTGTGTATTTGCAAAGCAAAAACCCAGGCAGGCAGGGTGGTCCTTCTCTCTCTGTTTCCCTGTCTGTCAATAGTTGAAACCATTGGGACTTTCACATATAGTAAACCTTATTCAAAGTCAGCAATATTTGGATCAAACATATCTCAATTGATCCCACTGATTTGCTCCTACACAAGTTGATTGAAAACATAATCCTGGAGGAGGTTCCAACCAAAGCTATGGATTTGGAATGTTGGGTCAGTTTGTCTTCCAAATGTATGTTTTCCTAGAATCACCAGATGATGTTCTTAGTCTCCAAAAGCACTTGTGGAATTTGTATCTGGTGTTGTTCTTGTGTGCCAGAGAATAATGGAACCTACTGGTTGGTAGTGCTCTCCACCTAGAACACATCAGAACAGGATACATCTGCTGGACGTCCGTGCTTGAGCATGTGTGCCTGTTCATGCTTAGTCCTCAGATTCTCCATTGTGAAGTTGTTTTTAAACTCCAGTATACCTTGGAGTTCTTCTGTTTCCCTTGACTATGGCTGGTTGGTTGGTGAATGATTCTATTTTGCTTCTACACCAATTTATAATGGGCCATCTACTTTGCTTTAGAGCAGTGATGTCCAACCTTGGGCCTCCAGATGTTCTTAAACTACAGCTCCCAGAAGCCTTCACCACCACCTCTGCTGGCCAGGATTTCTGGGAGCTGAGGTCCAAGAACATCTGGAGGCCCAAGGTTGGACACCACTGCTTTAGAGGAAAAGATACTGTACCCAGGTTGACTCCTCCCACCACCTCCAACTTACCTCCATTCTCTCTCTTTCCTCATAAATTTTTCTTCAGAAATTTAGCATCTCAATATCTGTTGAATGGATTGATTGTAATGAATCTCCACAGCAAATCTGCGCTGTTCTAAGAAATGTTAACAATATCTTTCCTTTTCTCTTAATAGTTGTGTTTGTTGCATATGGTGTATATCCCTGGCATTCAAATAACCTACATTGTAATTCAAGTCTATGGGTAGTTATTTAAGAATGGAAATACAGGGCTGAAAGAACTTGTTCTTTCATGTGAGCAGAAGAAGGAAGCTTTGCCTTTTTAAAAAGTGCCACAACATTTTTTTTGTTTTGTTATACATGCTGAAACAGACTAACACAGCAGCCTCTTTGAAAAATACATAACTAGTATGGTAACGTTGCATTTGCTGTGTTTCAGGGAGGTACAAAATTCACTTCCCTAATTCCCAGAATCCCCTTGCCAACATCATGAGTTTAGCTGTTTTCAAGCTGTGCTCTGATTTTGACCACCTGTGCTCTTCATAATTTGGTGTAAGATGTTGTGGCTTCGTCACATTCACTATGTAAGTCCCACTCAACGGATTACGCGTGTGACTGAGCATGGGAGGAAGGGGAAGCCGGGAAGAGAAGCAAAGCAAAAAGCAAAGCGTGCTGCTTATATACCGCCCTGTAGCGCTTCAAGCACTCTCTGGGCAGTTTACAAGTTAATTATGCAGGCGACACATTGCCCCCCCCCCAGCAAGCTGGGTACTCATTTTACCGACCTCGGAAGGATAGAAGGCTGAGTCAACCTTGAGCCGCTACCTGGGATTGAACCCCAGGTCGTGAGCACAGTTTTAGCTGCAGTACAGTAATTTAACCACTGCGCTGAGGAGAGGGGAAGGAAGGCAGGAAGGAAGGAACATCCACAGTTAAGAGTCTATAATAGTAATAGCAAATGTGATTTGACAAAATCAGCATTCCCATTATTAGTTTTTAAAAAAATAATAGTTCTTTAAAAAACCCAAAATTTTATTCTCCCTTCTATCAAAATAAAAAGAAAAAAATATTGGTACAGCTCTAGTGGGTGTATTTTTCCTATAATGACGGGACTGCTGAATCTTAACCTATGTGCATCTTTTGATTGGGCTAATGTATTTCAAGATTTTTTTTTTGTCACCCGATGTATTATTCATTTGACGGTGACTGTTGCATTAAGTGTTGGAGCGCTCCGTGTTCATGTTTGTCCCGTAGCAAAAACCTGATGGTGCAATGAATCAGCGGTACCACATCTCTCCATAAAAGCATGTGGTGCTCATGTAGGCTCGAGTTTCAAACCCCTCCCCCCCCACACACTAGCTCCTTAATCACTGGCAATTCCCTCACTTCCCTTTAGCATGTAAAAGTATGAAGGTCAATCTTTCTCCCTCTGGATCTGAAACTCCAAAGCAGCCTTCCAATGTTAATCAAAGTTACCACACAGGGGCCTCTGCATTGTGTTTGGTTTGCTAATTAGGAGTTAGTTTATTGCCTGAAGTGAGCGGATTTTCTGCTCAACTGCATCTTCAAAAAGTAGTAAAATATCTGTCCCCCTTTTAACGTGCCAATTGAAATAGGCTCAGAATTGGTGCTTTATTATAAAGTTATGCAAAAGACTCCACGGCCTGAAATCATGTTAAAACAAAGGGCACTGCTGTGCTCCATGTTGGCTCATTTCATTCTGGTGTGGTTTGGCTTTCGTTACAGGAGAGAGAGCTGATCTAGCATCCAGCTAACTAGAATGGGTGGGTACTAGCCAAGCTGTACAGCTGAACTGAACGCCATTGCTAAAGGATCCAGGCCTGTGTTTTCGCCTGTGATCCTGCCCAAGAACACTAAGAATTGTAAAAGAATCTTGAATGTAGCGATTGATCGACTAAATTCCTTTCTGCATCTCTTGTGCGTCACAGCTTTGGAAGCCACCTCCTGGTGGAACCAAACAATCCAATTCGGTTGCCCACCCTTCCACATCTTCCTGTGAGTAAAATGCCCTTATTATGTAATGAACTCATAAAAACAAAAAGCGGAGCTTTTCTCAGGCAACGGAAAATCACCACCCTTTATAGTAAACAAAGATGTTGCCTGCTTTGATAATGAGCAGGGGAGGGAAAAGAACGATCTTTGTATGAAGCCGCTAGAGCAGTTGTTTCATCCATAATTGTTAGAGGCAACCAAACCCCAAACCTCCTCTGTGTGAGAGCAACATTTTTTTGCAACTAAATAGGTCCATTGTCTCATAGATGGCGCAGGGGGAGACCCTAAGCTTGAAATAATTAAAGCACTGTTATTGAGGAACTGTGGGCTTTGCTTGTTCTTCTTTAGAATTAAGCGTCCTAATTAAAACAAAAATCCATCGCTTATAGATGAGACACATGTTTTGTATGGAGAGTCCGTATACATTGCAAGGAAAGAGAAACATTTAACTCATGTTTTGAAAGTTGTCCTTTCAGCAGAGGGTCAGCTAGGAAAACTTTTAAGCAGGTAACCAGAGAGGTGATGAAAGCAGCGGGCCATTTCCTTTCCAGAAACTGAAACGGAAGAGTCAATTTTGTCATGAGCTGAATAAATATGTATCGGTGCGAAAGCTGGACAGTAAAGAAAGCTGACAGGGGGGAAATGGTTTGTTTGAAATGTGGTGCTGGAGGAGAGCTTTGTGGATACCCTGGATGGCCAGAAAGATGAACAAGTGGGTCTTAGAGGAAATCAAGCCTATCTCTGGATGCAAAAAATGATGAAACTGAGGCTGTCCTACTGTGAGCACACTGTGAGAAGCAAGATTCTCTGGAAAAGACAATAATGCTGAGAAAGGTTGAAGGCAGCAGGAAAAGAGGATGACTGAATATGAAATAGATTTGACTCCTTAAAGGACGGCACAGGTTTGGATTTACAAGAGCTGAGCAAGGCAGCTGAGGACAGAATGTTTTGATCACTCATTCATAGGGTGACTTTGGCAGCCCATAACAACAAGTGAATATGTAGAAGACAATACCAATTGTCACAATGCCACTGGTACCAAAACTATTATTTTCAGAGATGTGTTTTTGTCCACTAGAAACTACGGGAAGCATCTTGCTTACCCTTTGTATACCTTCAGAAAGAGTGCCTTTGTACACTGTTGGGCAAAAGAAAATCAGGTTGTGAGTTTCTGTCATTGTGATCAGTACAGTGGTGCCTTGCTTGATGATTACCTCGTTAGACGAGGAAATGGCTTGACGATGAAGTTTTTGCGATCGCAGAACGATGTTTTAATAGGCAAAAATCGCTTACCGACGATTGGTCCCCTGCTTCGGTAACCAATTTTTCGCTTAACAACGATCTTTACAGCTGATCGTCGGGTCTTCAAAATGGCTGCCCGCTGTTTAAAATGGCTCCCTCCTGTGTTTTTAGGACGGATTCCTCGCTTTGCAGGCACCGAAAATGGCCACCCTATGGAGGATCTTTGCTGGATGCTGAGGTATTTCACCCATTGGAACGCATTGAACCAGTTTTCCATGCATTTCAATGGGCTTTTTCGTTTTGCTTGACGAGGATTTCGCTTAACAGCAATTTGAACAGAATGAATTATCCTCATCAAGCAAGGCACCACTGTATATGCTTAACGTAGGTCTATCTACAATTTGATCATCGGACTCTTGAAATAGAGTTTTGGATGTCTGGACAAAATGCCTGCTTTGATCTTCCCTCGCAGTCTTCAAGTACGTTTCAGTGCACATCTCTGAATCGGAGGTTAGGCCTCCAGATGATAAACTTGCCTTTACATAATTACCTTTTCCTTCAAAGACATTTACTCAAATTTCACAGGTTATGAAGGTATTGGACCCAGGCTCTCTCTTTTGTCTGTCCCAAACCTGCTGGTAGTCATATTGTTGGAAGATTCCACTCCTACTTTTAAATACCTTTACCCTTTTTGTCTGCTCTTTTGATGCTGGTTTGTAATTTTATAAACTTCTGTTAAACCCTTCGCTGCTTGGCCTTGAATCCCCTTGTTGGTATAGGCTCCAATCCTTGGCGCAACCTGTGAGCAAGTTGTTCCCCGTTCTGCCTTAATTACCTGTCATTTGAGTGCTTCTAAGGAGCTGCTTTGAAGTGTTTATTAAGAGGATGAGCTGCTTTTGCCAGCATTTTGTGACGCTGGCACTGATGAAAGCTTGATTATCTTCTGCAGGGATTGCCTATCTTGGGGGTATATGCAGCTCAAAGAGGAAATGTGTTCTTGCAGAAGACAATGGGCTGAATCTGGCCTTCACCATTGCTCATGAACTTGGACACAAGTAAGTGCTAATAATTATAGCTGCAGTCTTGAGCACTGTGGAATGTGTTTACAATTGTGATGGGTTGCCTTCATTGCTGCAATTAGCATTCCTGCTGAAATGTCATCTAAAACCATATTTATGCAACTTTTTCCCCCCACTACTGAAACATCAGTAGTGTCTCTACACCAAGAGGTTTGCTAAAACTAGTGAAATATCTCCAAGGTTTTCAGCATATCCCTTGTTTGTGTCTGGATTTCATCAGAGTGAAATAGGAGATCGTTTTGAAGGTTGCATTTTAGGGGGAATATGCAACGGGTTTCTTGAGAACCTAAAAGAGTTTTTGTACAACCAAGTACATAACACTTAAATGATGTTTTGTTAATCCCTAGTGGATAGTTTATCAGTAAATAGAACCAAAGTTATTATGGAAGGAGTTTCTTTTACTTTAAGACAATATTGCAGGTCCATACAGCCTTCAACCACTCCTTTTGATATCCAACATGTGTTTTTTAGGGGCAAAAATACTTCTAGAGGAAGGAAATCATGAGAAACCATAAAAGTAATTTTTAAAAGCCCACATGAAAGCCAAGACCTAGTGGCAGAACAATATTTGTTTTGAAATGTAGAAATCTAAAACTGCCAAGTAGCACAGCACATCTGAAATTGCCATTTGAAATTAGGTATTGGTTTTGCAACTCTGCATTTACTAACTGAAAATTATTTGAAGCATGCAGTTATCTCAGGAGATGGCATGCGTTCAGACTCTGGAGGCCTTCAAGGGACAATTGGACAACCTTCTGTCAGATCTGCTTTGATTTGGATTCCTGCACTGAGCAGTTGGGGTTGGACTCGATGGTCTTAGAGGCCCCTTCCAACTCTAGTATTCTGTGATTCTGTACATTTGTGATTAATCTTTACTCACACTAGGTATCTCAGTGCCCACATTGAGAAGCTAGTGTTTCCCTTCCAAATCACAAAACAAAGCACAGCTAATTGCAAGGTATGGAGGTGAGGAAAAGCAGATGCTAGGACAAATAGATGTCTTCCATCACTTTAAAGGAGCACTGCCTTTAAATAGCAATAACCATTTTGCTTCAGAGTGCTGCTACTGTCCTCTGAAGATGCTGGCCACAGAGACTGGCGAAACGTTGGGAAAAACAACCTTCAGAACATGGCCAAAGAACCCGCAAAACCCACAATAACCAATAACCATATTGTTTGTTTTGACCCTGAGGTGCTAAGGCAGTGGCCTCAGAGAAGTTACTTTTAAAGCGTGGTTCCCTTCCCTTCCTCATCCGAATTTCTCATAAACCTCCTTGGAAGTCTTTATCAGATGTCTGAATCCCAACAAGTGATTATCAAGGAAACCATTATTGAATATTTTAAATGTCCATTAAGTCTTAAATAAAAGGGAGAGGCGTAAAAATTGAAAGATGTATATATTGAGCAAATAACACTTCAGTTTCTCTTTGCAAATACATATTTAGTCACGATTCAAAAATGTATTTAGTCACCAATCTACTAGCCTTTTGTTATTTTCCTTACTGTTATGATAACATTATCTTCTAATAGCAAGTATATACTTCTTAGTGTGAATGCTATAACATTTTATTATTGTTTTTGAAACTGGTCATGACCCATACTTTTCACTGACTGTACAAGAGACATGTGTGGTGTCTCAGTCCTTCATGAACAACTTAGAGGCAGCTACAGGAAATGTTTGAGTTCCCACTAGGCCTGAGAAGATGAAAACAAATGTCCGGTTCCCCTTTCATTGACAGGCAGTGGAGCCAAACGGGGAATGGTTTCAACAGAAGTCAATGATGCAAAGCTTGTATTTATTTGAACCATTCACCAAGCTGTTAGCTCTATTCTCAGCCTTAACAACACACTGTTTAGTGTAAGAAATATCCAGAACGGTGTGTTAAATTGTCCTACTGCCCAAGTCTGATAGGCATCATGTGATCAAGACCTCTTCATATTTCTCGATAGTTTCTTTCATCCAGTACATAACTATGTTCTCAAGCTATCATCTTTGTCCCGTTCTGATTCTCTGCTTTGCTTTTGAGTACACCAAGAATGCCATGACTACTGTATGTAGAACAGGCAATACTTATGGAGAGTCTGGGACATCAACCAGATTCTGTTATTATAAATAACAGTTAGGGACTTAACCTGTTTGAGCACAGCCTGGATAGGCTGAGGAAAATATGTGCTGTCTGCAACATAACTAGGTCCCCTTGCCATGACACCGGGAAACCAGAAGTGGTTCTACAAGTTGTCTGGTTTCTGTTTTGCCATAGCAGGCTAACACAGTTATCAGCTAAAATATCTTAAATGGCAGTGCCGGCTCTTCATTGGTGGTTGATGGCTGTAATGTAGATACGCACAGAGTGTAATGCAGCTACAATGTCTGGTGACAAATGTGCATCCTTCACAACACAACTCCTTTCAGTCTTTCCTTTTGCAGGTTTTGACAAAATCTTTTGCTAGAGCTGCCTTGGTAGGGTTACAAGGGTAAGACATACGATTTGTTGACAAGAGAAAAAAAACCAATGATGTTTGTTCGGATCAAAGTTTCGGTTTGGGCATTAACAAGCTACTTCAGCTGTTATATATGGGAAAAAGTGAGCAAGTGTACTAATTGGTGTGTCGAGTTCAGAAATCCTCCACTCTTGTCACTTAGATTTATGGCAGAAACATTGCCATAGATAGATGCTTTATGCAAGTTTCATGCAAAGTTTATTCTAAGGAATGTCTCTAATAGAGAGTGGATTAATATTCTGGAGGTAATGAAGACTTGAAAAATTTCTCATCCTTGGCAAAGAGGTTTCTTAACCCATCAAGGTACCTTTTAAAAAAAAAAAAAAAGCCAGCTACATATATATGGCAATAGCTGACCGTTTTTAAAGGGTTTTTGAGGGTTTAAGAAACCTCTTTGCCAAGGATGAAAATTTTTTAAAGTCTTCATTACCTCCAGAATATATATATATATATATTGCTCCTGAATGAGAGGCAAAAGAGAAACAGCATTACTAGGGGAAAAAAAACATTTTATGTGTTTTGTGCACAGCAGCATTCTACAGCAGTGGCATTTGTGAAAAAATATCTGGGTTTTTTCATGTCTTTTGCAGAGAAACAGTAAATTTTGCAATGAAACAAAACAAACAAATAAACAAAATACCAAAAGTTGTATTTTCCTCTCCAGCAAAATGCAATTTTATGCCAAAAAGTTCTTGGCAAAAAAAGTGCTAGAATGCTCCTCCCCCAAAAGGCAGAAAAACTCTCATAGTCCTGCCCAGTAGAGAGATAAACTCCCTTGAGAACATGAAATAATAAAAAAGATTTTCATCCCTGTTGAAAACCTTCCCTAGCGCATTGTAATTGAGGTTCCTTTTAGTTTCTTAACTTTATTTTTATATACGTGCAAAGAGGGATAGACAACATGTTGCAGAAAGCAGCCACTAGTCAGAGAAGGGGCAAAGTGATGTTCCATTCAGTTTTGCTGGAGATACTGGGATGTCCCAAGTTGTATGGGGGCTTGTGAGCTGTGTTTATTTATTTCTTTATTAAACATTACCCTTAAGCATTCGTGGCAGAAATTGTGTTGTAGATGAGGTGAAATTTGTTTTAATGAATTTTTGAACTCCAAAACTTGACACAGTATATGGCCTTTGGGCTTCTAAACCTAAATAAACTTGATTTAAAAATATTTTTAACCTTCCTTTCTCCTTAAAAAGGAACCGAGGTGGCTAACAACAGTTAAAATAACGGTGTTTAAGATGAGCCACCCTGCGTATACAATGTTTTGAAAAGAATCTGAGCGACAGAGTCCAAAAGATTTTCTTGTGTAGAAATCAAGAAGAGCAAAGAAATCTATCGGAACATATGCACAAAGTTGAGGAAAACTTGTCTCCAGCAGTTATGAGGCCTGTACCAAATTACATCCCATGACACAACCTGTATGTGGAAGCTGGAGATGATGGAACGTGGGCATACATTAGCTTTCTCAATTCCCAGAGCAGGAAGTTGAAGAAAGCAATTATCCAGATGTGTGAAGTACAGAGATTTGCCTGTAATACATATTAAAAACTGATATATTTCACCAGGGACTCTGGAACAGCCCTGAATAAATGGGAGGGAGATTCCGGTATCCTGGCCACAACAAACAGCTCGCTGGCTGTCAGCCATTTCTTTCCTTTAGGTTTCATTGTTGCTGGCTTTGCTCAGCGCAGCATAGATTCTGTTGCCGACAGGATGCCAAATGATGAAGCAGGCCAGAAAATGCATCATTATGACAGCTTAGGGATCTCTCTCTCTCTCTCTCTATGTATGTGTGTGCGTGTGTGTGTGTGTGTTCCCTTGTGTTTTCTCCAGAGGTTTGTTATTTTCAAGATTTTAGTTTGCACTTGCAGTGTTTTCTCCAGAGGATTGCTATTTTCAAGATTTTAGTTTGCACTTGCAGATGGCCACCGTTGCATTTTCTTAAAAAAAAAAAAAAGAATCTCTGTCTTAAAAATAAATAAATTAAAAAGCAGCCAGTCCATACCTTGATGACATGGTGCTCAGCAACTCTTTACTGTGATTCCTTGCCGTTAACATGGGATTCTTTTGTGGCAAGTTGGAATTGTCATTCCCTCTCTGGAGTGAAAGAGAAGAGTATGTCTGTGGGCTGCTGGAGAGGTGGAGAAGCCTTTACTCAGTGACTTGATCTGTGCCCTTGCTCAGATTTGCAGGTCAGATCTTCATGTGATGGATGAGTTGTGTGAATGCTCACCAGTGTCAATAGTGCCAAAGTGGTCAGTTCTTCAATCAGCTTCTTAAGTAATAGGGATCTCTTCCTAAAGATTGCATATCATCAGGTTATTATGATTTTAGATATAGTAGCTACAAAACGATGTGGTCCTCCTTCAAAACCATTCTCCCAGGTTCCTCGGCAATAAATTCTTCTCTCTCATGCATGTCTTTCCCCATTAATCGTATCTTGAATAATCAACTGTCACAATCTGTACTTTTCG